ATCAGTGGTGATAGAGTGTATATACAAGTTTGTCATTCCGTGTGTAACACCAAGAAATATTCATCTGAGACCCAAGAATGTATATATATTCCGGGTGCTTATCAAATTCTGAGTCGATTTAGCTATGTCCGTCTGTCTGTCTGCCTAAAACACGCTCACGTTAAAACTAAGCAAAAGAAATCAACCAAATTCACCAAAAATATTCGTTGTTATCCTAGGCAGTTTGGTATTGCAAATCATCAAAAGCGGTTCACAACGTTAAAAGTTATGAGTAAACATTTCAGACTACCTCGAAAAAATTACGTGTTTTTTCGTAATTCTTAAGTCGTTTTCTTAGAAACTACAAAAGATAATTCGATGAATTGTGTTGAAAATCAAAATAATTGATCCAAAATTTCACATAGCCCCCATACAATGGTATATATTCCCAGAAATTAGTTTCTCATTAATAGCTCCCTCAAATATATCGGTATAAACACAAAATTTTGTACATACAAATATAATACGAACAGAAATCATACTACCAACGTAGATCTCAGTCGGTCCACAATTGGTCATAGCTCTCATATAAGGTCCACTGCCGAAAATCCCATAAGCCCACATATTCCATTGACAAATAAAGCTATTGTGATAAAATTCGAGATACATTCAAATCATTCTACGAAATTTTTTACGGATCGGTCCATTATTGGTCATAGCTCCCATATAAGGCCCACTTCCGAAATTCACTTAAAAGCACACATTTCATTGTCAAATAAGGCTATCTTAATATGAATGACTCTACGAAACTTTTTCCGGATGGGCTCATAATTGGTTATAGCTCCCACATAAGGTCCACTTCCGAAAATCACTTAAACGCATATATTTCATTGAATTCTCAAGCTATAGAGATAAAATTCAACTTGAATATGTTTTGTATACATATATACAAATCATTCTACCAATTTTTTTACGGATCGATCCACTATTGGTCATAGCTCCCATATAAGGCCCACTTCCGAAAATCACTTAAAAGCACATATTTCATTGTCAAATAAAGCTATCTTGATAAAATTCGACACAAAAGTTTTGTCTAAATATGAATCACTCTACGAAATTTTTTCCGGATGGGCCCGTCATTGGTCATAGCTCCCATATAAGGTCCACTTCCGAAAATCACTTTAACGCATATATTTTATTGAATTCTAAAGCTATAGGAATAAAATTCGACTTGAATATGTTTTGTGTACATATGAATCATTCTACCACTTTTTCCCTGATCGGTCCATTATTGGTCATAGCTTCCATATAAGGCCCACTTCCAAAAATCACTTAAACGTACATATTTCATTGTCAAATAAAGTTATCTTGATAAAATTCGACACAAATATGTTTTGTCTTTATATGAATCACTCTACGAAATTTTTTCCGGATAGGCTCCCGTATAAGGTCCACTTACGAAAATCACTTAGACGCATATTTATACCCTACACCACTTTAGTGGGAGGGGTATATTGCATTTGTGCTGATGTTTGTAACATACAAAAATATTCGTCCTAGACCCACCTTAGAGTATACCAATCGGCTTAGAATCGTTTTCTGAGTAGATTAAGCTATGTCCGTCCGTCCGTCTGGCTGGCTGTCCATGTAAACCTTGTGCGCACGTTTAACCAAGGACGAAGCCTATTGAAAATGGTTAAAATCGAGTCCATTATTTCACCTAGCTCCCATAGAACAGAACCCCCCGAAAAGAGCTTCTGAGCTCATAATTTTGTTAAATATACAGATATATCGATAAAATACGGCACAACTAAGTTTTATAAAAGTCTTGATAACCCTGTCAAATTTCATAAAGATCGGGCCCCATTTGACCCTTGCTCCCATACAAATTCCCCTTCAGAAAATTGCTTGAATGTCCCAAATTAACTTATAAACACAAATATCGCGATGAAATTCAGCACAATAAAATATTATGTAAATATAAATATATTCACAAAATTTTATCGGGCTTGGTCCATACCCAGCAAAAAATATTCTGGATTTGGAAGCAATAAATATGATTACTGCATCTTCTACTGCTACATTTATTGCATCCTAAAATTATTGCCTTACAAAAATGATTTTGGAAGGCATACATTCAGCTATTCGTGTAGGTGGTGAATTACTTAGAAAAAATCAGCGCTTCTTGTTAGACAATCACTGGATCTGTAAGATTTTATTGCTTCTCGTCAGCTTTAAAATCTGTAATTCAGTTTTGATATTTTCTAATATTGATATTTATAAAACATTTCCATAACAATTAATTATTTTTCTTCTAATTTTTTTTTAATTATAAATAGGTATACCAATTTATAAAATTTACACTATTAATGAATTTTAAAGAATTGTTAAATTAAAGTAGCAAGTTATATAAAACTCAAATTTAATTGTGCTAAAAATTTATTACATATGTATGGTATTACATATAAATATCAGTTTTTATAAATTTAGAAACTTTTTCAGAATACATAAAACAACAACAATACTACATACATATTTCTAACGGTAAAATCCACAATAGAATAAAAAACATATCAGAGAACATTTTATAAGAACTGTGTTGAGAGAGAAATAATTTGCAAATATTTTCTACGTAATTTTCTTTTTAAGTATTTGTTTTTACTGCTTCATGTAAGCACTAACAGAATAATTTTTAATAATTTTTTGGTACCAGAAATAAATAAATATTGTAAATAATTGTAAAAATAGTGCTTTTCCGTAGATCACACTGCTGCGCAGAAGCACTAAAGTAAGGCAAAAATTATAATAATGATTTCTCGATTATACACGACGGATAATTCAACTAAAACGAAGATTAAGATGATGCAATATTTATTAAAATTACATTTAGTTCTGATGTGTCGTTCTTTAAATCAAGTGAGTAAGCGCATAAAAGTGATAGTGTTAAAATAAAAAAGTATAACGGTTTAAAAACATACATACGCATTTGCACACATTCATATAAAAGTGAGTTTATGTATAAAAATTTAAAAAAAAAATTTTAAAATTTATTAAAAAAAAAAAATTATGGTAGGTCGAAGTCAAATCAACAAATTAATAAAAAAAGAGAAAAACAAAAATGCATTAGCTCTACTTAGAGCATCTTCCATGGGAAGAACTGATGGTAATGAGTTCGAATCACGTTCAAATATTGAAGACTTGTCTCTGCAAGAAATTAGGGATAATAGTGATACGGATGTAAAGGAATTAAAGGATAAATTAAAAGAATGGTATTTAAAATACAGACCCTCATATGAATGCACTACATCTTTATTAAAAATATTAAATAAAAGGCATTCTGAAATACCTTTAAGTGTTATCAGTTTATCTGGAAAACAACAGCCTGTTTCTAAACGGACTGTAGCTCCCGGTACCTATTTTCATATAGGGATTAAAAATAATCTGAATAAAATAATTGATGTTATAAAAGACGAAAATGTCAATAAATTAGTTTTGGACATTGGAATCGACGGTCTGCCCGTATTTAAAAGCAAGGATAGGGGTTTATGGCCAATATTAGGCCGCATTGTAAATTTACCAATGGTAAACGTTTTTTTGATAGGAAGTTATGTTGGCGAAAAAAAACCATTAGATATTGATTTATACTTACATGACTTTGTTTATGAAATTAAAGATATAAAAGAAAATGGGTTTCTAGTCGAAGAACGTAAATTGGACATAATTATCCGTGCATTTGTTTGTGACACGCCAGCCCGCTGTTATGTGTGTGGGATAAGAGGTCACAATGCCTTAAATGGTTGCAGTAAATGTGACCAGAAAGGAATAAGTATCTCAAATGTGACAACTTTTAGTAAATTTGTGGGTAAATTACGTACTGATGCCGATTTTAAATACAGACGTGATCAAGATTTTCACCAACCAAAATTTTTAAATATGCAAATGTCGCTAGAAAGTCTAGACATAAAAATGATAACTCAATTTCCCATTGATATCATGCATTTGATAGATTTAGGAGTAATGAAAAGAATGCTTTTAAGACAAACGAACGCCTATCAGCTCAAACTAAACAATCAATGTCATCATTAATGATATCTCTATATCCATTTATACCACGCGAGTTTGCTAGGAAGCCTCGTTCTTTTGAAGAAATAAGAAAGTGGAAAGCTGTCGAATTTCGACAATTTGTACTTTATACTGTGCTCATTGTAATTAAAAAATTTACAAGTGAAAACTTTTTCAAACACTTTTTGCTTTTATCGTGTGCTTATCGCATTTTAATTCGAAATAATATTAGACAAAGTGAAATACATCAGGCTCATGAAATTCTAAAACAATTTGTGGAACAATTTCCAAATTATTATGGAGAAACAAGCATTACCCATAATGTGCATAATCTTCTACACCTAAAAGAGGTTGCACTAGAATATGGAAATCTTTCAAATATAACAGCATATCCATTTGAAAATGCTATGACCTCTTTAAAAAGATCAATTAAAAAGTCTCAACACATTGAGCATCAAATGTTTAATGTTTTTTCCAAAATACCATTGGCAAAAAATACGGTCGAAAACGGAATCAAACGTGGTAAAATGGGAAACGTAATATTTTACAAATCAGAAAATTTGTATTTTAATATAAAATTTCAAGATAGTTTTTGCTTAATTTCTGATAATACACCTGTCAAAATTACAGCTTTTCTAGAAAATGATATGTTTAAAGCCCATGTTTTTATTAACACTGAAGATATGTTTTCAGAACCCATACGATCGAAGGATCTTGGCATATTCGTTGTTAATTTAAATGTATAAAGAGAAGAAACATTTAAACTTCAAGAAATACGCGGCAAATTAATATGTTTGCCATATGAAAGTAGCCATTTACTTATTTCATTTTGTCATTGCTCTTAATGATTATATTAAGTTGGTCCATCCAAACATTTGTTTGGGCTTTATTGATAAATAATAATAAATAAATAAATAACAATAAATAAAAAACAGTAATTAGATATTTTGCATTTTTAGAATATTTTTTTACAAAATGGGACGCTCTAGACCTGTGAAGGAATCTTCTACTAAAACAAATCCATCAACAACCATTGAGACTGCATCAAAATTGGAAAAACTCCAAAAAAGTATAGAAGAACTTCAAAAAGGTATAAACTTGTTAAGTAAAACTATAAAAAAAAAACCCTTAAATTATAACGGCTGTATTTATAAAAACTTATTTTAGGTTTATTAAACAATTTTAGGCAAAATTCAGGAAAATCGTATTTATAAACGTGAAATAGCTTAAAACACCTTCAATAAACCATTGGCAATTAGAAGAATTTTATTGTAGGCTCGACCCTTCTTTAAGCCAACAATAAGTTGATTTTTAACAATTTTTTTCTCAGATAAAGATTTTTCCGGTAATTTTAGGTTGATTGCGAAAACTAATTATGGTTTCTTTTAAAATAAAATCTAAAAATTCTAATTTTAACGTTTACAAATTTGTAAATAAAATCCCAGAAAATTTTTAAACGATTATATTTTGAGGAAAAAACTCAAATCTAGGCATTATTGGATTAATGCATGAATATTTGACAATATTCCAATTGTCCAGCACTATTTTTAGGCAATTTGGAAGTGCCCGTCTGTCAACCAAATGATGGACAAAATCATTTGATTTGGCTTTTTCAAAGTTTGTTGGTTAAATATAATGCCATAAAGTAATTAACCATGTAAATTATATTGATTAGTGTTATACTAATGCAAATTATATTCGCCGGCATTAAAATTAGTCAAATATCAAAGAAATTTATCAATATTTGCAAAAATTTATCAAAAATTACAAGGAAAATAAGTAAAAATAAGAAAATGTGTCATAGTGATGTATATTTTGTCGCAAAATATCCGTTATTCGGATACTTTTAATAATAATTAGAAATTATATGTTATATTTATACATCTGAACTAAATAGACATTTATTAAAGCCATATATATATTTATTTTTCTTAAAAGTTTGTTTTTATTGTCAAAAATCTATTATAAACAAAAATATGAAATTAAAAAAACCGAATCAACGAATATTTTATCCTAATTGTACGCAACACTAACACATAAAATGACAGCCATATTGTACAGTGCTGCCAACTTAAACATAAATCAGCACAATAGTTAATATACGTTTATTATTTGTTTATGAATATCACAATTTTATTAATGATTTTTAAGGCTAAAGTGTGCTTTAATTATTGAGTGCATTAAAAGCAAAATAAGATTTTTTTATAAATACAAGCGTAAATGTATTTTAACATAATTAGTAAACAGCGACATGGCTAAAGAAATTAAGGAATTAAAAGAAAAATTTTGTGGACAAAACAAAATAATTGTAGATCTATTGTCTGAAATGCATGTCTTAATAAAATCAAATTTAACCTCCACTGCAGTGGCCACAAGATATTTGGACAAATTTCCTCCTCAATCTAAATCGGAAATGGACGATATAGAACTAGAAATTTCTGATGAAAATATGGAAGCTATGGTAATAAAACTACACTAATATTTATTAATACACCTAAATTTTTATTATTCCTTATATTTTATTTCAGACTCACACAATTAAAAAAATAGTGGGAAGAAATGGTATTAAGAAAATGCTAACAGCCATTTTTGATAAACATCTGCTACTAGAATTTAACGTTGATGGAAGACAAAATAAAAAAGAGACTCTTAGACTACCCAAAACTTATAAATTTAATTTACAGTAAGTTAATTTAATAAATTTATAATTTTATTTATTTCATACTTGTTTTTATTTTTTTTCAGAATGTGTCTATAAAGACGAAATGTTGACAAAAAAGGCCTTTTATGATGAAATAAGAAAAGGCATTCGCTTGGCAAAAAATAGACATTACAAAGAAGCATCCTTTAAAAAAAAATCAGCAGCTTAGATTAAATGACATTCAAAGTAATTCTTCTAATGATGAAAATAGTTTAAATTATTTAAATACAAAGGAAAATGAATTATCTTTAATGGATTTTTAACTATTTTTCTTCTTAAATTTCATGAATTTTCTTTTTTGGAATAATTTATTTTTTACTCTTATTGCTGAACGAAATATTTTTTTATAATTAATTTTTTATTCTTATTCATTTTTTAAAACACTTGCTCTTTTTTCAATTTCCAATAATTTGTAAATTTTGTTATTATTGAACAGACCAAATATTTTGTAAAAATATTTATACTTATAAAATATTATTATACTTTACATTTTTAAAAACTCTTAATTATTAGAATGAAAAATTTACAATAAACTTTTATCGGCTGTATTTATAAAAACTTATTTTAGGTTTATTAAACAATTTTAGGCAAAATTCAGGAAAATCGTATTTATAAACGTGAAATAGCTTAAAACACCTTCAATAAACCATTGACAATTAGAAGAATTTTATTGTAGGCTCGACCCTTCTTTAAGCCAACAATAAGTTGATTTTTAACAATTTTTTTCTCAGATAAAGATTTTTCCGGTAATTTTAGGTTGATTGCGAAAACTAATTATGGTTTCTTTTAAAATAAAATCTAAAAATTCTAATTTTAACGTTTACAAATTTGTAAATAAAATCCCAGAAAATTTTTAAACGATTATATTTTGAGGAAAAAACTCAAATCTAGGCATTATTGGATTAATGCATGAATATTTGACAATATTCCAATTGTCCAGCACTATTTTTAGGCAATTTGGAAGTGCCCGTCTGTCAACCAAATGATGGACAAAATCATTTGATTTGGCTTTTTCAAAGTTTGTTGGTTAAATATAATGCCATAAAGTAATTAACCATGTAAATTATATTGATTAGTGTTATACTAATGCAAAATATATTCGCCGGCATTAAAATTAGTCAAATATCAAAGAAATTTATCAATATTTGCAAAAATTTATCAAAAATTACAAGGAAAATAAGTAAAAATAAGAAAATGTGTCATAGTGATGTATATTTTGTCGCAAAATATCCGTTAATCGGATACTTTTAATAATAATTAGAAATTATATGTTATATTTATACATCTGAACTAAAAATCTATTATAAACAAAAATATGAAATTAAGAAAACCGAATCAACGAATATTTTATCCTAATTGTACGCAACACTAACACATAAAATGACAGCCATATTGTACAGTGCTGCCAACTTAAACATAAATCAGCACAATAGTTAATATACGTTTATTATTTGTTTATGAATATCACAATTTTATTAATGGTTTTTAAGGCTAAAGTGTGCTTTAACTATTGAGTGCATTAAAAGCAAAATAAGATTTTTTATAAATACAAGCGTATGTCGGTATTATTTTATATCTTTTATAAAACATGAATAATCAATAATATTTAGTTATTAGTGTGAAATTAATCAATATAATATGTTTTGTAAATGATCTCTTTTTTAGTTCTTATTCATAAAAATTACATGTTGATAAAAATAAAATTATTTCTATACATAAACTTTTATCAGTTCTTTTTTTTGGGGTGGTGGGGGTGTTGGTAGAGGAAATGGCTTAATAAAGCATTACTAGAATGCCTTCTTTAATACATATTAAAGAAGGCGTGATAGTATCCCTTTTTTAAGGCATGAATTACCAACATAGTGGATGCTGTGTAAAAGGCAACTGGATCGTGCTTCCGCGAGCACCTGATATTATCAATTCCGAAATGCACAATTATTTGTACATATTTAATTCGATGAAATCAGGTTAATTTAAAAGCTGTGAAATATGCTTATTTGGGATTCCTTATGCAGAGCCTTTACGCGAGGAATCCAATATAAAAATCATGTAATCTTTTATGCGAAGTGGTAGCAGTATACAAGTGCTCTCTGCCTTACAAACCTGCTTCCGAGGAAGCACCATTTTTTTCTGGGTATTTGCCCCTAGCCCCCATACAAAGCCTCTTTCAGAAAATTGCTTAAATGTGTCAGAACAAGGGAATATTGAAGATAAATGCTTTATTATGAAAAATAAATCACATTTAATATTCATAACTGGTGTAGGGTATCATATGGTCGGCCACGCCCGACTATACTTTCTTACTTGTTTTCTTTGAATAAGAAATCTATCGGGATAAAGTACGACTTGAATATGTTATGTGAGCATATAGATATTTCTACCAAATTCTTTCCGGATCGGTATTTTTAAATAGCTCCTACATAAGGTCAACTTCAAAAAATCACTTAAACGCACATATTTCATTATCAAATAAAGCCATTTTGATAAAATTCGACACAAATATGTTTCGTGTACATATATGTATTACCGGATTGGTCATACCTCCTATATAAAGTCCACTTCCGAAAATCACCTAAACGCACATATTTCATTAATCTGTTGGAGTAAAATTCGACTTGTTTTTATGCCCTCCACCACCATCAGTGATGATAAATGGTATACCTATATAAGTTTGTCATTCAGTGTGTAACACCAAGAAATATTCATCTGAGACCCAACAAAGTATATATTCCTGGTTCTTATCAAATTCTGAGTCGATTTAGCTATGTCCGTCTGTCTGTATGTCTGCCTAAAACACGCTCACGTTAAAACTAAGCAAAAGAAATCAACCAAGTTCACCAAAAATATTCATTGTTATCCTAAGCAGTTTGGTATTGAAAGTCATCAAAATCGGTCCTCAACGTTAAAAGTTATGAGTAAAAAAAAAATTACGGGTTTTTTCGTAAGTCGTTTTCTCAGAAACTACAAAAGATAATTCGATGAATTTTGTCACACATTATTTTTTTTACCCAGGGATTAATTGTGTTGAAATTCAAAATAATTGATCCAAAATTTCACAAAGCCCCCATACAAAGGTATATATTCCCAGAAATTAGTTTATCATTAATAACTCCCACAAATATATCGGTATCGACACAAAATTGTGTACATACAAATATAATACGAACAGAAATCATACTACCAACGTAGATCTCAGTCGGTCCACAATTGGTCATAGCTCTCATATAAGGTCCACTGCCGATAATCACATAAACGCACATATTTCATTGACAAATAAAGCTATTGTGATAAAATTCGAGATAAATATGTTTTGTGTACATACAAACCATTCTACCAAATTTTTGCCAGATCGGTCCATTATTGGTCATAGCTTCCATATAAGGCCCACTTCCGAAAATCACTTAAACCTACATATTTCATTGTCAAATAAAGTTATCTTGATAAAATTCGACACAAATATGTTTTGTCTTTTTATGAATCACACCACGAAATTTTTTCCGGATAGGCTCCCGTATAAGGTCCACTTCCGAAAATCACTTAGACGCATATTTTTCTTTGAATAATAAAGCTATCGGGATAAAGAACGACTTGAATATGTTTTGTGAGCATATATATATTTCTACCAAATTCTTTCCGGATCGGTCCATATTTTTAAATAGCTCCTACATAAGGTCCACTTTAAAAAATTCATTTAAACGCAGATATTTCATTATCAAATAAAGACATTTTGATAAAATTCGACTCAAATATGTTTCGTGTAAATATATATTTTCGATCGGTCCTTAATTGGTCATACCTCCTATATAAAGTCCACTTCCGAAAATCACCTAAACGCACATATTTCATTAATTCATTGGAGTAAAATTCGACTTGATTTTTTTTATATAAATCATTATACGAAATTTTTTCCTTATCGGTCCTTAATTGGTCACAACTCCCATATAAGGACCATTTCCGAAAATTACTTAAATGCACATTGATAATCAAAGTTATCGGGATAAAATTCGACATAAATGTGTACTTTGTATATATAAATCATTCTACGGAAATTTTTCCAGATCGGTCCATAAGTTGTCTTAACTCCCATAACTCTTTTAAAACATTAACTATACAAGATTTGTGAAAGACGTGATCACATAGAGTTGCAACTTGATATCGTTTAGTTCATAATCTTTGTTGCAAATAGAACATTGGGGTAAATTTGTACTCTCGTTTTGAGATTTATTGTTTTCATTACTATTAGTTCACATTATTATAAAATTGTCTAACAAAATCAAAACTATATAAAACTTTCTACAAATCTTTGGTATGGTTGTGCAAAAATAAAATAAATTAAAATGTGAAAAGATATGAATGAATAAATCTAGGTTTCCGGATATGTACTATAAACAAGAATAAATTGGTGAGCTAATAGCGGACGATAAGTGCACGAAAAATACTGCATCCTAAACATAATTCCAAATCTATTTACTTAAAAATTGATAAATCTTCATTAAGTATATTATAACATATCCATAAATAATTTTCAATATGTTACTTTATGAGACATAAAGGAATGAATAAACTTTAAGTACATAAAGGATTGTAAAAATACAATATTACCAAATATGTCTAAAAGATATTGCATTCTTAGCGAAAATAAATATGGACAAAACAATATCATAAAGTAGGGATTTAAAATTATCATAAGGATTCTTTGTTTAATTATATTAGAGATGTTAAATGTGGTCCCAAAAACTAAGGTCATACTTGATGTAGTTGCATTCTTATTATAATTGATATGAAATTTAATCTTATCATAAATCACCTAGCTTCTGGGCCCCACGTTGGGCGCCATTTAATTGTAATACGAAATGCTGTTTTATACGGGTGGTTAGGGGTGGTCAACAATCTTTGAAATTAATACTTCCAATTAACCCTATCTATACCTAATGGTCTCTTCTTGGAACTGTACGCACGCGCTTGCTAAGCTAGCTAGTTCGCGAGATGTGGGCTGGGTTCTTGTTCCGTGAAGAATCCACATGCGTACAATCAAAGTTTTCACGTGCCCATCTTCAAATGCCCTAATTATAAAAAAATAAACAAAACTAAGCAAAGACTTACTAGATCTAGTATTCACATTTTTCAAAGGAAATATGTTCTTGCTTTTCGCCTCTTAACCCACCCATCCTGTGGTTTTCCTGTGGCAAATATGGTTAAACGAAAAACCCATAAAGCACATTACCATACCATTGATCGGATAGGAGTTTTATATAAAAGATAAATCTATTCCATTATTAATTTCAAATTTTACATTTATTCAATAAAAAAAAAATAACTATAACCTTCAT